CAGCTTATCAAAGAAATCATCCTGCAGAAATAATTGAACATTCATTGATGAAATGAACTAATGCACAAACCTATAATGTCAATCCCGACAATATCCCAAGGTGCATCCACTTTTATGGGCCGAACCGTCCTCGCCAGGTTTTTATTTCTCTCCGTGTGCTGACAGGTCTCACACACTTTAATCTGAAACAGTTGTCACAAATGTCACACATTGTTATCATCATGTTCCACTGATGTTAGCACAACACCAGACAAGTAAAAATGGATGTACCCAGTCCACTACGTCCTTGATGATCCCCAGCCAGTAGTACTTGCTCTGGATCCTGTGGACAGTCTTCTTTTGGCCCAGGTGATGGCCGATGTCATTGAAGTGACAGTCGAGAAAAATCTGCCTCTTCCTCTCAGCCTCAATCACCACCTCCCTCTTTTCTTCTTTCTTGGGTCCCACATAGTACAGCTTGCCCTCTTGATAGGATGCACAGATATGAATGAAGGGAACATGTGGTGAGAACAGCTGCAGCACATGTAGCAGAGAATGTGGAGTCAAGATATGTTTTCACTGTCAACTGCAAACTAGTTTGTGATATATATTGCTGGAAAGTTAATGAACAGTGATCCTGCCATTCCCCCTTTGCAATACAACTTTTATCATACTATATACATATATCAAGAATATTTGCCAATATATTGATATAAGGGTGACTACTATAGAATGCAGACACATCATACCACACTGCATTTTTAAAAAAATACTCATTTAATGTTGTTTTGTTTACTGGGAAAGATAAATATCTGACTGACCATAACTTTGGACATTCTGAAAACAAGTGAGGTTCATTCTTCAATTCGGCATCCAAACCGTTTACAAAAAATCACTCACTTTTACCAGCTGAAATTGCTTCAGAGGGGTAGTTCAACTCATATAATGAAGGCTTTCATTTGCCAAAAAGTGACTGCAGCTTTTCCACTGTAACTAAAACGTTACAAATGCATCAAATTGACTTGACTCCATACATGAAGGTCTCAGTTAACTCATAATAAACTAATTAACTCAGTATAATTGAAAAAGAGATTGTTTCTTTATTCTATACATAAAACCCGTCAGATTTAATATGATGGCGTGAGAAAAGTTACACTTTCTTCCCCTAAATATCAATTTGCAGCTCTAGTATAATCCAAAATGTCTGATTATGCTGTAAACTGCACATTTCTTTGGTCACAATTATCCAGTTACAAGAAAAGTTTTCAAAAGGATGAACATTTTGCTGTCACCAAGAACATAAAGTTGTGTATTTGCATGTGCACACTGCTGGATCCAGACAGAACCACCTGCAGAAACCAGGCGCGAATCAGTGTTTGGCAGAGGATCACTTTTTGGCACAGCACCGGCAAGTCAAGGTTTTAAAGCAAATCTTACCGTCAATGATGAATTTCTGTGCGTATCTCTTGAGATTCTTCTTTCGCAAAGGATTCATGGTCTGAGGAAAACAACCTTTAGCCACAAAAGTGTAAATATCCCCGAGTTTGTTGGAGCTGGACTCAACCACCTCCTCCTCAGCGACTTGCAACGACTCCACGCTCAACATGTCAGACTGCAGCTCACCCCAACCCTAACCCCGTCCAGCCGGCACAGACTCTCAACGCCAGTCAACAGACGAGCTGGTTACCAATCGGCATATTTAGCAGCAGTGCTGGCTGCTGCTAACAGATAGAAAAGTAAAATCACAACAGTAACAGGATGAAAACACAAAGCCTGCGCCTCCTTCCTGGTCTTCTTCTACTTCTGCCTGTTGCTGGTTGGTATGCTGCGGTTTTTTCGCATTAGCGCCCCTCTGGACAGCAGGCGGTACTGCCAGCCCTCCTCAGAAATAAACGAGATAGTCTGTTAGTCTAGAAATGTCTATTTTCGGATCAATGTCCGGATGGAAATTTTGATTATGAATGTCCTC